TGTCAGGTTGCCCAAGCCTAGACAGGGGAAGTCGAGTGGCGGAGGTCGGGTTCGAACCACGGACCTTCCGGTCAGTAAATTCGCGCTCTAACCACTTGAGCCATCTCGCCCCCAGATGAGTAGCAGCTGGTGGCCACAACAGTTGTTGTTCGAAGTACTCGGCCCATGGGTAGAGGCGTTCTTCTTTATTTAAGATGTTCACTCCTTTCCCATCCTTGTTGATTTCGCTCACATAGGTTTCCGGGGACCGATCGAATGGATCAACTGATATAATCTTCGGACATTACTGGCTTTTTGGCCTCTTCCACTTTCTTGGCTTTATGTGTCCACCACACTTCACGGGCGGCTCAGACGCTCACTTTGATTTGAAGTTTGATAATTCGTCACATCAAGTTATGTCCGGGACCGGCTGGGATATTTCTCAGAGATTTAAGCAGCGCCACCGTTCGGTCTGATATCCAGTGCTTGAGTGCGCCTGGTGGTGCCATGGACGAAATTCCAAGCAGTATGTAAAAACGTGTCAATTTCGTCCCAGTATGAGTTCATATCTGATGGTGGAGCATTTGGAAGAGACTCTAGAAGACGATTCTGGTTAAGTTCGTCTAACATCCGTATCTGCCAACTGCCAAGCGATTTGTCCGAAACTTCGGTGGCCCTGGAAAACGTATGGAGAAGCTGCTCCGGACGAGCGCGTAGCCAGAATTCACAAATGTTTCAAGACGACCGGTAGCTATTTATTGATCCGCAACATCGGTAACTGATGGCAATGTGGTCGGTATGAGTTTGTGGCCGGCATGCCGTTGGAGGACACCATGCGGCCAGACGACTTTGGTTAGTTCGGAAGTTAGCACTGCATAAAAAACGGCCTGTGATGAGCACACAGCTGAAGCAAGCGTTCAGCACTGTCAATACGTATCGAGTCCAGTCCGTGTCGATCACCCAATTGGGTCTTAGATAGGCTATATCTGGCCACTTATGCAACCACAACGATATCTGGGCTTTTAGCTCGCCGCAACAGGGCACTCAAGGCGCCATAAAACCTATATCTGATGGTGTCAGAGTTACAGTAAGTTGGAACGTAAGCAGACACGCCAAACAGACGTCGATTAACTTTCCCCTTGTGGGACTCCTTTAGAGACGTTGCCGGACGAACCGCAAGAGGCGACTACCAACAGGTATTCAGTCCACAAAAGATTTTTTCCACCCAGTGACTTAGGACAATGAAAACCACTGCACATCCAGCCGCAGCAGCCTCTGGATCGCCAGAGGTGAGTAGCCGAATTGGAGTGGAGACTGATGGGGCGGTTAATTCAATGACTGCGCTTCAATCTTGAATTCTTGTTTCTGACACAGCACACATCAACGTCAAGCGAGTCCAGAGTGAGAGCAAGAACAGCTTGGTGGTCTGCTTGATTTAGAGTGCGTAAATTGAAGGCAGCCAGAGAGACTGGGCGTCAATGCTTGAAGAATGATTTCCAGATGTCTGATGATATCGGCGCCGGATGACGCGTAGATGTCGGTTGCAAAACCGATGCAAGACGAATGTGGTCATCAGTTCTAAATGCTGGGCCTACAAGGAGAGAGTGATTAATGGGGTGGGGGAAGGAGGAAGAAAAAAGTAAGTGAAAAAGAAAGAAGGGAGACGTCAGCTGTAGCATGTTTCCGCTTACCCGTCCTGCTGTACGCAGCGAGTAAGGCTGATGGCACCACGAGACGGCCGATGTGGCATGAGTTTGTTTGTATATGCGCGATTCATGGCTGTACGTGGGCTGGGATACTGCCAAGGTGCCCACACCTAGACAGGAGGACGATTACGGTCCTCAATCAAAGCCTTTAGCTCAAAAGCCTGACCGCAATGGAGTGGTGTTTGGCTGAAAATATAAGTGAATTGCCACTTTTACGGAACATGGTACCACACACTTTGCAACCCCCAACATGGAGTACCAAGCGACTATGTTCATCAGATCTCAAGCCATCGACCATCTTTGTATGGAAGACTCTGTGAGTGTCGCGCGGGTAGCCTCCAGTAAAAAGATAAGATAAGCATTCAGCTCTAGCACCCTTCCGGTGCCTAGCTGCCATGCCACCCGAAGAAAGCAAGAGGGCTGGGATACTGCCAGGTTGCGCAAGCCTAGACAGAAGAAGTCGAGAGGCGGAGGTCGGATTCGAACCACGGACCCTCCGGTCAGTAGATTCGCGCTCTAACCACTTGGGCCATCTCGCCCCCAGTATAGCTCAATGGGTCGCCGAGATACACAAACCGTCACACCACAGTAAGGCCTAGTCTCTTCGTGACGACTTTAGTTGACCGTTTATTTTTTGCTCTCCACGAGTTGCTGTCTATCTGTCTGTCAGATCTTGATTTGTTTCGACAAATTCATAATAATTTTCGATCAAGTTAGATGATAATAGGTCATTTTCACCAAACAAAGCCGATCGCTGTTCTAGTTTGAATCCGAGTATATTCACAGCGGTTGCTTGGATATACGTTGCAACTAACCCACCGCTACGTACCACTACGCTCCCCAGTAACGCACTGACGATGTCATCTCGACTGGCGATGAAACGTTTGCAATCAAATTGCCCAGCTCAGCGAACAAACCAACGGCCATCTACGCTACCTGAGCTACCAAAATTTTCCTCTATAGAGGACCTACTAGCTTCCAGGTAGTCTTAGGAGTGGTTTATCGACCGGTACTGTATGAACCGTCAGTCTGCTTACATTCTGGTCCGAGGAGGCGGATTTTTCCGAGTCCGATGAACACGTTGCCACGTGAAGCGTGATCCATATCACATTCAGCTCCAAGCACCACTAGGGTGATTAGTACCTTAATGACATCCCTCTGCCGCAGGACGTTGGATGAGTTCACGTGAGGAGTAGCGTGCACCTCACAAAGGTGCACCAATTTGTTTGCTGCACATATCACTAGCAATCAACCAGCCTTACCACTCGCTGACCGACCTCCAAAGGAATGTAGTATGCACTTCCCAGTTTGAATATTATCAACTGCTCTAGCATTGAAAGCGATTGAAGGGAAAAGATATTCAACTGTGTTTGTGCAATAGCGCTTGTCTACAACGTACGTCTCAATTCCTCCCACTTCAGCGTATCGCGCGCGATATTTCGGTATCCGTAGCATCATTTGCAAGTTCCGAGCAACTGTTTGATCATATTCGTTTTTCTGTGGAAGTCAAAACATAAAGAAACAGTTCCACATTATATGTAACACAATAATAATAAGCGTTCAGCTGTAACACCCCTTCGGTGTCAAGCTGCCACGTCACCCAAAGGAAGCACGAGGGCCGAAACACTACCAGGTTGCCCAAGCTTAGACATAATCAGTCGAGGTGCCTGGGTTGAATACGAATCACGGGCCTTCTGGTCAGTAAGTACGAGCCCCAGCCACTGATCTATCTCGCGCTCACTGTTACTTTCAACGCTAAGGGAACAAGGGCCTAGGCTGGTACACTAACCATTTATGTATGATTTTAGTCTGTTAAGTTGGTTTTTCTTGGAGGACCACAAATTTTAGTTCCAAACATCAGGACTATCAAAACTGGTAATGCTTCGGTGGATAAGTGCAAAATACTTTCGTTATCATTTCGGCTGGTAAAAGCCACATAATATCTCACTGATTTTTTAAAGAAAACATTTTTGCCTGATGTTTTTCTTAATAGCTGGGCATGTTGATAACATACAGGAGATGAACAATGTGTGAAGGACTATGGCCCTGCGATCTCCGTAACAAAAGTTTTTCCTGGAATTGCTTTTGAGAAGTTTGTCCGCGCAAACAGTAATAAACAGTATAGCATCGAATGAATGACCGAACAGTAACCCAACGGATTTGCGTGTCTTGGAAATATTTTGGTGTTTTACTGAGAAAAATATACTCTATATTAGTCAAGAAGAGCTCGAGATAGCCCAGTGAATAGGGTGCGAGCTTACTGACTGGAAGGTCCGAGGTTCGAACTGACCTCTGAACCTCGACGGGCAAACTGGCTAAGTTACAGTCCTTGTACTTTTTTCGGGTTGTGCGGTGCTAGAGCTGAACGATTAGTCAAATGGTCACACTGTACAAAAGACAAATGCCGCTAGATATGTGAAGTAGAGTCTTCATGCCCACTGATTTTCCTCAACCCCGTTCAAGTTAGAACTTTAGAACTTCCACCATGTATCACTCAAGGCATCTGTTCGCTTTATGTATGGGTAATCTTGATTTGGTACGCATAGAACTCCTAAAGTAGCATGTTGCATGTTCATAAAGCAAAACGCTAGTAAGGCCACTTCATTAAAGTAACTGATGACTGTCACTGAGATGTGTTCGACATGCGCAATTCAAAGAGTAATGCTCGCGGTTACAACTACAATGTTCATTATGATTACCACTGACCGATGAGTTAGGCCCTTAATATGGGTAACATAGCGAAAGTACCGATTGGGAGACCAGCGCAGTGCCATCTAGAACCGCTGATTAACCAACAATTACGGAAGATTCGACAAACAGCTTTTTCGGTTGGCGATAACCGATGCGGTGTTTCTGGATTTCCTCAAGTTGAGGAGGAAAACAAAAGGGACTTCATTACCTGGTAAGAAAACCTGCTTGTGACAGGAAACTACACATGCCCTTCAAAGATGGGAGGGGTCAGTTAGTGGTAGGTACATGCAACGAAGGCTATTTCCGAATCTTGTTGATCACATACCGGTATAAGCAGCTGATCGCGCAACCAGTTAAGATAATACATCAGTTCTTTCTCTTCCATTAGTTGACGAGACCAACAGGCAAACTTAGCGACGATTCTTGATGCTTGATACATACAGAAAGGGTCACCACGTTGAAAGAAGCTGAAAAAATGTGGCCATATTGCCTCCCGAGAGTCTTGAAAACATGAGCAGAAGATTTCCACGCGTAATTTGTCCTCCTATAAAAGATGGTGAATAGCTTCAAGCATAAATACCTGAAGAATGTCGTCCAAAAGTGTAAGTATATACTGCAATGTCTGTTCCTTTGATATGCGGTTCAGGATGAAAATAAAGACTCGTGCAGTCTAGGTGGGCTGGTAAAAGGCAAATGTTTCAAACCAGTTGCGGATCTTCGTTGATAACTCGAGTTCGAGCCTCGGGTGTAGGAGAATTGTCCAAGCGGGTGATGAAGTTAAATTGTTCTGTATTGATAATCTGTCCTCTGAAACGACGCAAGATCGTGAAAATCACAGCTTACTGAAGATAAGACTGCCAATTCACTCTTGTCAGACGAATTTCGGCAGCCGTTGCTTGGAGGAAGCTTGTCGTAGTGCCAACTAATAAAGGAATCAAAGTAAAGACTCGATACACACTTGAAGTGATGTCTTCGATGGTTCCAACGCGAGCGTATTCAAGCGACATTGCGACAGACAATTACACAAGTAAACAGGGACAAGATCCGCTGAAATAGGATAACATATAATAATGGGAAGTCAGAAAGTTTTTGTCATCGTGTTAGGCAGGAATCCACGCGGATCCCACTATACCGCACGTCTTCAGGCGCTGCTACGGCCGAGAAGCCTGGCCCGCTCGAGGTTGGCCCAAAATTCGGGACGCTTGCCGGTCCGGCATCAAGAGGAGATCTGATTGGTCAACAATCTGGACCCAACAGCCAATCATGACCCAGTATTGGCCAAATGCCGGTTGCCAATGGAGCTCCAGAACGCGTCAGAAATTCCAGAAAGTTATAGCCGCTTACGCTATATATACGAAGCGCTGTACAACTGTTCCTGATTTCGTTTTGGGCGTTAA